TTCTGTACTTTCACGTTGACGTCGGGAAGAATGAAATAAGATATATAAAAATGGAAGGATGTGGTACATTATTCTTGACTCTTTTCACTGCAATAGTACATGTAGAAATATACTTACAGAATTGGCCTGCTTACATATTGCAACTACTACATGCATCCGTGACAAATGTATTCTTGTATAGCCTTCAAACAAAAGCACGAAATACAAGCAAGCTCCTTCATAACAAACATATGACTGCGTAGAAAATTAGTACTACTGACTGTTTCTCTTGAACAGTTTGTGCACTGATGTTTCAATATTAATAATAATAATACCATTGGACAATTTACACAACGTCACCTAGTCCTCAAGGTAAGCAGAACTTGTGTTATGGGTACTAGACAACTGATATACACGTTTAGATACATTTTTGTAAATACATAGAAAACACCCGGACCAATACAAACAATCATTCTCATGAATACAATGTTTGTAGCGTGCGAATAATCAAACCTGCGACCATCAGAAGTAAAGTGGTATACTAAACCGCTAGACCACCAAGGTCGTCACTAATAATATTACTATTTTGTCATTATGACAAAAAGCGTCCATATGATTTTGTAACTGTGTTATATTATTGCGACAAGGTAACTTACAGAAGTGTTTAATAGTTATTGCAGAAAACTCTGCTCAGCACAATAAGACACATTCTGTGTATCTTGATATTGACTACCATTTTTGGGATTAAGTTTATAATTTTCTTATTTAGCACAAATAAAATGCAACAATTTTATTTACCGTCATCATGGATGGCAACATTAGCGATGGTAATTTACGGCAAACAGACAAAATTGCTATGTCATCAGGAATATTAATGGCTCTCCAAATAAACCCGCATTTGTTAACTCCAGTGAGATAGCCGATGTAAAATTAAATTTATGTACCTACATAAAAGATTTTAAAGTTCTATACTGAATTTTTAGAGAGTCGTCGAGGACAAGCGGCTTGCCATAGTAAATTCGAATATGGCAAAAACAAAAATAAAATCCGTTTCAGAAATTTACTTAGTACAAGAAATATTCTACTCTATGGTCAGTACCATATAATAATTAACTTTTTTATTATTGCCTTTGTCAATTCTAACAAACAAAAGGTGATTAAATAAAAATAAATCAAATTAATGAATATATACTCTATTCCCAAAAAATTAATATATGATATTCCTACTAAACCTTATCTATAATCATATATGGCAAAAAATATCCTATTTGAATAAATGATTTTCGACTTTATTTACGTTATACATAAAGTTTAGACAAAATTTACTCAAAGAGTTCCAAAGTTGAATCACTGGATACTTTTGCTTAATTAAATTAAGAACTTATATAAATTTGATGAATTCAAAAAAGATATTTAATTATCTGTTAAAGAACAAACTACGAATAACGGAGAACTTTGCTTACAGTATCAGCTTTAATACGAATTTAAACTTTAACAATATTACGTCGCAAAATTGGCTTTACCGACTCTAATCTAATGAAATGCGACAGCATTTTCTCTGACCCTTTATGTCTTTTTGTTTTTAAAAATATTAAATTAAAAATCTTTATCTATTTTATCAACACTTCATGTATATATAATAATACAAAATAAATGTATATCTAATAATAAAATAATTTTAGAATTATATTAGTGCTGAGTAGTTTAATATTGTTTTACAAAAAAGGATAGAACATTTATATCGATATACACTGGCGATGATATAAATTATATCTGCATACCTACACAATCATAAAAAATGTTATCTTATTTTGTGCTAGTCTTGTTCGCGAGTTCGATCTTGCACAATGGATATATTAATAAATATATAAATATAAAATTGCAAATATAATCTTAAAAGGTTTAGATTTAGATATCGGAATATATACACAAACCTGAGCCAATTGAATAATTTCATTATTCTTACATGAATATTATCAACAAACTTCCAAAGATTTTTAGAAGTCGGTTTAAAATTCTCATAAGTATTTTTCTATCTTGCAAAATACAAAAGAGTTATACACGAATGTAGTCATTCCAACAACAATGGTTTTAATAATATAAATCTTTATCATAATACCCATTGTTAGTCTGAGCACAAGCAGTGAGCTAATAACGTATTAAGTATGCCGGTCCACAGGCCAGTTTGTAGTAAGCCGACGGTTTCGGTCTATCACGCAACGGATGCGACGTCCGGTGCCATGGTCAACCTAATAGAAAAGTGGAAGGCAAATAAACTGCTCTCTGAAACGTTCAACACGCTCATTTTAAAAAATGAAATATAGTAAGTAATCCGAGTCAAGTAATCTATAACAAAAGAAATACATTATTTAATTGAACATTAAAATTTATATAATTCACACTATCAAAACTGAAAATAAACAACTTTAGTTGAAAATGAGACTAACAGTAGACAAATAAATAGTATGTAGTTATTTTTATTTATCGCATTCCGCGTTGTCGGATAATGTTAAAGGTTACAGTTAACTATAAATCACAGGATACCCACAACAACCACTTGTCCAGGCATCTTCACAATGGATACTTGAGTCATACAAATGTTGGACAGCTACGAACATAAAGCTGCGGAACCGGAAACGCTGGACGATCGCCAAAGCGAATTTCCGATTATGGTAAATAATAAAGTTGAATGAACTAAGCTAGATGACATTTTTATATCTGCAGTACGTTTGGCACGTATTCGTAACTAATGAAGTATATATTTCACGTAAGGGAATATTATTTAAACATAAAAAAACTAAGTATATGTCATAGAAGCTAATGTCCCACGTGATAGTAAATAGCAATAGACCACTACGTACATGAACAGCACCATGACTATTACATCATCATCTTCATCATCAAGTGATACCTGTGTTACCTCTCATACTGCGCCATTATGAAGAACTCAGTCGGAGACAAAACACTTTCAACGTAAATGGTGAGAAAGAGTAATCCAGACAGGCGCTTTTGTATAAAGCCTACTTTTATTCCGAATACCTACATTTTTGTAAAAATACTAAGTATATTTTAAATAAAATATAAACTAATGAGGTAGTCTCTCAGTTGACTGAGAATACTCATGTGTATTTTTAATTACATGAAAGATAAGCGATTATGTATACATGTATAAATTACCATTGAAAAAAACTATTTAAATACTTACTAGCTTCGCCAGCAGATTACTCAGAATCATATTATTAAAATTATGTTATTATAGAATCTATTATTCACATAAGTACTTAAAATTTGGCAATTAAATGTATTCATGAGTTTATAATAATATATCTTATCAAATGTATATACACATACATATACAGACATAAATAGAAATGACATAAACATTGACTATAATTTGAATTATTCTAATTGAAAGTTACGCACGAAATAACTATGCATATAAAATATTTAACTACCACAGTATCTCATGCTACCAGATTTTGGGGAATTTGTGGCATTCTACTCCAAAGAGAGATGTGAATTTACAGTAATAATATTTATTCTACATCCCGTAATAATATTTGAAGAAAATGTGGTATTGAATCTATTCAGATATTATACTGTCAAAACAATAAATAAAATATCTTCATTTAACCTTGCTTGTTTGGGATACCATATTTATTTAAAAAATATATTTTAATGTACTATCGAACAAGTGACGGCCTCTAGTAATTATACAAGTGCAATTGCAAATAACAATTTAGTATTAATAAATAATAGTTAAGTACGAATACCATATGCTATCACACGACTTTGATTCTCGGTCTGAGTGGTATTTAATGTTAAGCCTTATTACGAGAAACAGATAATACCATAACCTATAACCATAACCTGTAATAGCAATATATGAGGAAGGGGTAATAGTAACTACCCTTCATAAGAGGAAGATTTACTCTACAATTAACACGGTGTCCAGTCTTAGTATTAAGTCTTGATATGCATTTGCCTTCTCTTTGTGCTTTATTCCGATCATTTTGTAGGACGTCTCAAGGATATTATTATTCCGTTAAGGTACATTTACAAAAAAAAAGTAATACTTACTTAAAATAATCTAAGTTCAAAGTATAGATTAATCATTGTAACTTCTAAAATAACATGATTTCAACATTCATACATGGTCCAAAAATAACATAAAACCAGTAAAACAGAAGGATATAATAAAATCGATACTATTCAGCTGTCAATCAATATTATTAGATTTACTTTCGACAATATTAAGTTAAAAGTGTTACGGTTGACCAAGCCAGTTAAACTACAATGTTGTCAAAACATATGTGTTAAGATGTATTGTTTCCTTTGATATATATATTGTTAAATTATGGTACATTGTTATTTTGACACCGAATAGATTTTAAACATCACTGTCAAAATTACTAATACACATACTGTAGGTGACCACCTACAGTATGTGTAACAAGTCAGTACCTACTAATAAGACACACATATTATGTATAAACTAAATTAATTACTTTAAGTAGTTTAAAATAATATTGTAATGTCAAAATATATATTTTTTTTCTATTTGTAAAGGACATGCCTCATACTTAATTTATTATAAAAATTCCTTTTCTTCTAGAAAATTATAATATCAATCAGTAGTTAATATGGACTGTAATTACTTTTTATATGTATTAGTAAACTTATAATACTTGCACCCATGTGAAGCCACCCGGCTTCACATGGGCGCAATTTAAGAATAAAATCGATAGTAAAATTGTTGTTAAATCATTACCTTTGTTGTACTATCATGAAACATAAATCTTGAATGGTTTTGCAATTATTATACACAAAATTATATTCTCTATTAATAATGACCTTATAAAAGTAATTTACTGAAGTAACTATATATATATATATTAATTAATAATGTCGAATATTAATACTACACGTACTACTTATCCATCAATTTATTATTATCATCTTGCCTGTTTTGCAGCAATGATTGAATATGTGGAAATTAAATAAAAAACAATATTATAAATCTTCATCAATTTATTTTATTTGTATAAATAACGCGATATTACTGATATCAATATACTATGATCACTTGTTTTCACTATTTACAATACAATATGCTACAGCAGTCTTTAAGATTTTATTACATATCTATACACATTATAACGAATAGGCAATAATAGTTTAATTACATAGTTTTGGTATAGCACTTACTAACTACTAGTTACAATATTTACAGCGGTCTAAGACTAACATCTATTTACATACATCTGACTGGAAGTTAGGACCATAAGATCCCTAGACTAGGTAAGCTTGCACGGTATTGCCCGTATCTACAAGCGGAGGGGGCGGAGGCCACTGCCTCATATCTCGTCTCCTACCTGGTGCCATACCGTGCTCTAACGAAGAATAGTCAGAGTCTATTGATGAATAAATATGGTCTGAGATAGGTCTACCATCTGGTCCATATACTACACCTTGTGTTTGTCTCACAGCTGATGGGGACTGTCTTACTTCACTACTGTATTCAGGAGGTGCACTGGCGCCTTGTCCACCCAACACGGGTGACTTATCAGGAAAAGGTAGTGTACGGTTACCACCATTAGGCACAGAAGAATCTAGCGTGTAAGTATTTATATTCTTTCTATAGTTATGACTTCGGGCCTTATGATTAGGGTGGGACGAATCTGGCATTATATACCTAAGCCGTTCCCAAAATCTTTTTTCATCCCATGTCAAACGAGATCCCGTCTTCATGTATGGGCGTAAGTCATGATCACACATTGCATCTGCGACTACAGTACAATCTTCTATTATAACTAATTTATAAATGCAACCTTTAAGTGCCTCGTGTAACCCCTGTCGGAATTCATACCGGGACCATTCCGTTTGCATGAAATTTCTCGTTAGGACGATTATTATTCGTTTCGATGCTTCCGCAGCCTCAACGACTGGCGGCGCGCATTGCATGTACTGAGCGCCGTGGTGTGGAATGTCTCTATAATGAAGGCAGAGATGATACGATGGATTCCCATTCTCTAATTTGGACGCTAACGATTGTATGACGAATTCTTCGTCTTTCGGACTATAGCATACATAGGCATCATACAATTTATCGTTATTCTCCTCGAATGCTCCGGCAAATGAGAACACTCGTATACCGCAATTAGTGTAAAGCCATACACGGAGTGTGTCTCGAAACAGAAACAGTACAACGAGCGTCAATAAAATTAGCATAAAGCCGGTGAGTGTCGAGACCATCATGGGAACATAGTTCGACACCATATTTCCGATGACTGAATTATCGGCATAATAATCGCTGCAGGCAGTGCCATTTAAGTTTAGCTCTTTTTTCTGTGGTGGTTTCGCCTCTCCATTCCAACACCATACGTCGGTTATGTCGATTATTTTTTGCGCATTCTCCGCCAAATATGCAGTTAATTCTTGTAGATAACGACATTTACATGCCCACAAGTTATTTCCAAGGGATAGTGCTTTCAAGTTATGGTTATTATTAAAACTCCATACTCCGAAATCGACTAACCTATTACCATCAAGGCGTAATACTTCTAAGGATCGCAAAGAAACAAATGTAATATTAACTATATGGCTGATTAGATTGTTTTGTAGAAACAATTCTTTTAAATTACTCAGTTGATGAAATTCATATCCTTTCAACTCCTTTAGTTTATTGTTACCGAGATGCAATATTTCTAGGGCATTTAATCCAGCAAATGTTCTATTTTGTATGCTGTCAACATTACTGTTATTCACATACAAAGATCTCATTTTCTGTCGTCCGATAAAAACATGATTTTGTAATTCCCTTATATTATTGCCATCCAAAAATACTTCCGTAGCATCCATGGGTATTTTATGTGGTATTTTCATAGAAGATTGTCCGGAACAGTCCACGACGTTTGTGTTCCACAATGGATCATGATAACAGGTACAGTTCGTGGGACAAGTCATTTCACAATCACACGCATCATAGTCACAGCAATGACAGATAGCAAAACAATGGGTCTCATACTTACAAAGAAAGTCTGTTGTCTTAAGGTTAGTTAAGGGCACATGAGTTCCACTGCGAGTATTTGTCATTTTACACAAAACGTTTTCCAAGTCCATCACACGAGGGTGTTGTCTTAACGCAGTCATGTTATTAATTATAGGTAGCCACTCCATAGTACAGTCACATTGAAATGGATTGCCGCCTATGTAAAACTCAGGTAAACTTTTATTTGCGGGCACTGGAGATAGACGCAAACTATTAAGTTCTAAATGCACTATTTCATTAGCATACATGTCCACACGCGTTAAATTTTTTTTATCAAAAAACGTATTCACGTGAATATTGTTCAAGAAATTATTGTTGATAAATAAAAGTTCTACACTATTAGGTATCGCTAAAGGTGATATTTCCACTATTCGATTATGACTAACATCCAAGGTTTTAATACGGATTTCATTTTGTAACTTATAGTAATTAGCCAAATGTTCAATAAAGTTACCGTGTATGTCCAACCACTTTAGATTACTAGGCACAAACGCATAATCAAACCACACTAGATGATTTTCTGACAGATTGAGCCATAAAAGACTCGCCAATGTAGAGAAAACCCCGTTGATGTCGGTCAGAAAGTTTCCATCCAATCTTATTGCTTCCAATTGTATATTCCGACTGAAAGTTTCTCGTTCAATGGACTGAATTTTATTCTTAGCAATATTGAGAACCTGCAAGCTTGGTAAGTCCCAGAACATTCCGACGGTAAGATTTCCAATTTGGTTATCGATCAATCTCAAGCCAGTTAATTGGTTTAGGTTTTTGAAGGAACCATTTTTGAAATCCGATATTTGATTTTCACCCAGATCTAAAGTTTTTAGAAAAGACAGTTCCCAAACAGCATTAGGGACTTCCATCAATTGATTAGAGCTTAAGTCCAGCTCTTTTAAATCTGAGCAGTTTTTGAAAGCTTTTGGATCGATATTCACTAACAAATTGTTATTTAGAGTCAATTTGCTGAGAACAAATAAACCATTAAATAAGTTTTCGTCAATTGTGTGAAGTCTGTTTTCTGCCAAATTCAATGTATGTAAATTATATAATGGTAAGAAAGCATTATCTTCAATGTAACCAATGGAATTATTTTTCAAATTCAGTACTTGTAAGAAAAATAAATCTTTAAAAGTCTTTCCATCAATTCTAGTCAAGGCATTATTTGATAAATTCAATACAATTAATCGTATCAGTCCTCTAAACGTCCCATCATCAATATGATTACTTGTTAATTGATTGCTAGACAAGTCCAAAACTATCAGTTCCTCTAATCGATGGAAAACTCCTCGGGCTAATTCAAAGAGCGAGTTATCATTTAGATATATTTCTCTAAGTTCTCTAGCATTTGTGAATAGTCCTTCTGGTATCATTTGTAAACGATTATGTGATATGTTTAGGACCCTCATATTCAGGCTCAGTAATCCATTAAATACTTCACTGGATATGTCACTGATATTATTGTGTTGCAAATACAAGTATCGCAAACTTCGCAGTTTAAGTAGTTCCGAGTTTTCTGGTAGTGTTTTGATCTCATTATGACTCAGGTCGAGACTGTGTACATTTAAGCCGCATCCCTGTCCAAATCCAAGTTGCCCAACTGATCTTATTCTGTTATGTGTCAGATTCAATGTTGTTAAATTTCCCAGCGGGCAGAACACGCCGGAAGGAATGAATTTTATGTTATTTTGAGCAAGATCCAACGATTCCAGCTTCGTCATTCCGTTCAAAGAATTCAAAGATAACTCTAAATTCTTGGTCGGACTCCACTCAGAGTTTTTTGAGCGAATCTTTATTCTTTTCAATTTATTCAAGTCTTGAAACGTGTTGTCTGGCACATGTAGCAACTTGCAGTTAGTTATTGTCAGGTCGCTGAGACTTGAGACTCGTGAAAAGTATCGCGTTCGCAACGAACTCTCAAACAGAAGTACATGATTGCACTCGATGGTTAAGCTGCTTGTATCTGAATTCACAGTAATAATACTGGCACCATCACCATCAAGAGTCCGAATCCTACAGAGCACGCTGTTTTCAAAGGCCCTGTCCGAAACTCGGACGCATTTGTCCGAGCCGAAAGGCAACACCGTCCAGCCAACGTGCATCAGAGCACAGAATACAGCCAGTGTTGCGTACATTATCACAGATTTTTCATTTCACTACAAAACGTCTCATAAACACTCCCCGTGGGTCGATATCACCATTTCCGAAACAAAGTACGTGGTACACTCGCGCGCTGAAGAAAAACTGGATAGCATTTCACTGCACTGTAGTCCATATGCACTGGGCGAGTCAAAGTTCTTCTATAAGTTTGTGACTGTTATTAACATCGCTCGTTTATGTTACAGTTTGCGATTAGTTTTATGTAATAAATATTTAGTGCGTGTACTGGAGAGCGGCGCACGTTGCGACACGTGCTCTCCACAGTGCGATTCCGTTGTGACTGTCCGGCGTAGCGCTTTTGCTCGTGGAGGTGGCATAGCAGAGGGGAGGTGCAACTTGCCCCGCGCCAACCGCCTCCCCGCGTAAGCTTGCGACTAAACTTGCTCTGGTAAAGGCAAGTGACGCCATCTAACGTTCGGTAGCAGATATTAGCATTTTAAATCTTGAGAAATCTTAACAGAGAAATCAACTTATTATTAATTATATATTTCACAATCTATATTAACAACAAGAAAATAAATGGCGAAATTAGTATAAGTACTTACTAGGTGTTATAGAAATAATGTACAACGCACAATAAAAAGTAATAAATACATTCAGGTATATATGTGTATTATTTTAAATACATTTAGAATGTTTATTGATACTAAGTTATTTTTATATTTTATTTGGTAGTATTTTACACGAAAATTCGGTTAGATTAATACAATTATCTAATCGATCGTAAATAGTAAATTCATAATAATATTTACTATTGATGTCAGTAAATTACTCTGTTATGATGGATGCAGCTTTTAATCTTACCACATACTAATACTTAGCAAACAGTTTCCTAGAATCGTATCTTATGCTAATTACCATCAATTTATAGACGGATTTAAGGAGACGTAATGTTTTGGATTATTTTACCTTCTTTTTCCTCTACTTACAATAAATATCTCTTAGTTCTGTACATTTCGACAAAACAATAAAACTACACTATTACTACACTACTCCCTTTACCTAAAATAATTAACGTTTTTTAAATATATGTTAATAGATTAGGATTATAATGATATCTATTCTATAACAGATGTCGCTAGTTTGTATGTGAAATAACATCAGTATCCTTTGGACGCTAAGAAGCACGCTAAAATAGTATAACATTAATGAAAAATAAAACTGAATAGGTCTGATATTATTATTGTAATATACAATATGTATCATAATTATTCAGTCATTTACTAAATAATCATTGTAGAATTGAAAAAGTCGTAACCTAATAATTTACTTTCCTAAATTAGACCTGATCGGGCGCGATTTGTAATATTGCCGACAATAAAAAAAATACTTTGCGTCAATTTATATTTCTGACTCCGGTGAAGTAAACATCGATAACAAACCAAAAATCCGAGAAACAGCGATAGGCTTGCCCTGCCGTGTCTAATTTAAATATACCGCGCTATTGAGTTTCTTGCCAGTTCTTCTTAATAGAATTTGTATACTGAACGGTAGGGCAAAAATTATAATACAAAAACTTGATGTTCATCAGCGGCTAAAATATCCTACATGAATAAATGATTTTTGAATTTGAATTTGGAAGATGTGGGAATATCAATTGTTACTTTTAACATAGTTGACGATGGTCTCTGACTACCTACCTACTGAGGTAATCGGTTTGACGGTCCGTTTATTTTTTGCAAATATTATTTTTTATAATTAAAAACTTATAATATTTGCAATTAGAAATATAACTTTTATTCTTATTAATAAAACAATAATTATTTAATACCTGCCTTCTCTAACTCATTATTGACATCACATCCAAAGAAGTGATTATATTAACAATTTTAAACTTAAATGGAAATATCACTATAACGCCTCAACTTTTACTTGTCACTTGCAGAATGATAACGTCGATAACAAAGCTAATTACAATGCCGTCGGCCATAGGGTTCCATTGTATTCCCTCATATTTCTATTAGTTCGGTTAACCCTCCATTAGCCAGGCATCCGGTATTACAGCAATAAACCCTTCAGGTATAAGCCCGGTCTTATCTGGTGTTGTATTAGCACCAAGATTTCAATTGTTTAAGCCAACCATTCGCTTTTTGTGGTATAGTCCGGTGACTCACTGATTCATGTGCCATGGGAAGTACTTTCTTTCTTATCACAATAGAATGTTGCATACCTAGTAATACCTTTGTAGTAATAATAGTAGGTACTTCTTATTTCATCTGTACAGTAAAAACAGACATATTTTTTCATTCACAATACCTATATATATATATCTGTTTTTACTAAACTTCTTTTAAATCTATTAATGAAATTTGATTTTACATAAAAATAGATTGTATCACCAAGATCAATATATATAGACTCTCTTTTATTATAAAGTAGACTAATACGCGGTTAACATCTAGTAACTACTAAATTGAAGAATAGCGCGATATTAAAAAAATACGCTTGCTTTATTTATAAAACTATTTTGTTCATGACTTTCGAAACGAACGATAATAAATAAAAAAAAATTATTACTCATGTTTTTGTTCCGATTCTATTTTTAAAATATTTGTCCGAATAAAAACCATGATGCATGCCAATTTCAGCCAGCGCTCTATTTGAAGAATTGTATGTATAGAATAGAAATGCAATAACTACAGCCAATATAATGATAATCTTTAAGTAATTATGTGGTAATATTCAGTAGTGAATAATTAGGTAATAGTAATTCAGGGTAATTTATTTAACTATATTTAAAACTAGTTGCACCCGCGACATCGTCCGCGTGGTATTTAACTTTATTTTTCTAAAACAAAAGTAGCCGATGGAATAAGGAGGACTTATACTCCTTATTACATCAGCTACCTGTCAATAAAAATCGGTCCAGCTATTTCAGAGATTAACCGGAACAAACAGATAGTCAGAATTTTAAAAAAAAATGCTATTATGGTGCGTGTACCTTATTTATATTCATATGCGTGTAGTAAAAAACTGACACAAACACTCCAATTTTATTTACATGAAGGTACTTTTCAGTTGAAAAAAGTTCAACAGAGCTATCCATTCTAACTACACTCATCCGTGTGCTTGAAACATTTGTAGATTCCGTTTATTATCATATTAATAAATAAATTTATGAAATAGTAGATTGAAAATGCTCATAAAATTAATTATGTCACCTACTTGAATGCGTATAACGCACATGCAAAAATATATTCTATAAAAACTGGAACATCAAATCTTAACACACAAACTGACAGTCAATTTTCGGCACGATTTTATTAGTAAAGGCGTATTAAGGGTTTCGTCTTTACAATTGTAGTACGAGTACCGAGCGAAAGTAAAACCGGCAAATGCTGTGGGGGTCTATTGTACCCCGTACAGAGTGCTGCCGAGCCCCGCCCGTAATGTGTTGACATCATTACATACCCGCAATAAGAGCACGACAATGCAGATAAGATCCGTGTTTGGATACGTTCGGGGGGGTTAGGTTTTAAAAGGCGCTCGATATGGAGGAGTGACTTAAAATATTTCTTTATTTAGATATTTTTATTAGATTACTATCTGCTTCCTCGCGATCGTAATAGCCCGATATAAAAATTGTCTTTCTCCATCCGAAATACTAGGTAAAAGTCAAACATTATTATCACTTGGTTCATTAAGAAGCGAAACAAAATAACTTTATTCCTTTATAATATTAGTTATAATACTGTATATTCACGTCTGTTTTCTAATAGATGAAAATAACTAATGCAACACATGTTATTATAACTACAAATATAAAACTACATTTTTTTCGATGATTACATTACCAATTATATCAATACAATAATTTTTTATGTAAATCTTATGGGAAACACGCTAACAGCCCACCTTATGGTGAGCTATAACCGTCATCTATAAACATAAACTCCTACGATATCACTTTATCATGTGATGCGCGTGGTGCCACTTATGCATTGCAGAGGACTAAGATGCCTCTCCTAAAAAACTGCCTCGTATCCTGTATCATATCTGCCAACCGTGCACCCTATAAGCAGAACACAGTTTACAGTACAAACTGCTTGACAGCTGAATTAGGCGAGACTTGAAACAAACAGATAATTTTTTACAATCAATCTCTTGTAGCTTCTTTATAGCACGAAACATTTATTTGAAGTCAATAACAATTATGCAACACTTTTAAATTATATTATTTAAAATGAGTAATAATAAGCATATGGTTGCAATTTTCTTCTAACACATGCAATGTAATAATGCAGATACATTATTTGAAATGTTCCTAATGTTATATTAACCTTAATTTCCGGTAATCCGTAATCCCTCTTACTCATTCAGAGGTTAACAGAAAAAAACAGCTCCATTAGTTGCATCTTTTTACCCGATCATTTCTTAAGAACTTTGAAATCTTATGTATGAAATGTTTAATGTACAGTAAAATAGTACAAAACATGTTTCATCCCCCCTTTACGTACATTGCGCACTTCATTTGCATGTAGAGGTAGGTAGATTTTTTTTGTTACTTTTTCAAATATCGAGTCACGTCATAGTATTCGCTACCTTATTTCTATTAAAATCCAGAGACTCAAAATAGACATACAAAGACAGACAGATTTCAGAGAATTTTAAATATTTTCATTATCCAACGGCTACTGTCAAAATAAGAAATATTTTTTATTTCAATTTTCAACAATAGTATCTGAGAACTTTTGTTAGACCGAATAGTTAGGACAATGTGTTGTGAAAGCTGTATTTATCAAATAGTATTGTCAAACAAAAGAGATAAAACCTTTCATTGAGATCCTTCTTATCATGGGTTTATCTCTTTTGTCTGGTTTAACACCTCCAAAACTAGACGAAATGAAGAAAAAATCTTCTGCAATCCTAAAAAAGTACTGCGTTTTTAGATAACGCAAAATATCTCAATATTATTGTAGACATGGAAGTTTGAACAGATGCTGAGATATTATGATGTTTGTAATTCAATCACGCTCAAACGGCTAGACATAATTCTACGGAATTTGGTATATGTAGCAATATATGTGTGGCTGTTGTTTGTAATATTTCGAATCGAAATCGAATCGAATCGATTACGAATAAAGATCTTAGCTGTCTATCTATATTATAGTAATTTAGAATATTTTTGTATACAAGTGTATCAATTATATATACATATATATCTCTCGCGTTGGATTCCAAATATTTGCATTGAGCGGATGCAAATATTTGCATTCATGTGTATGATTGTTTGCATTGGTCTGGGTGTATTGTTTTATTGGTTAGTATGTA